AAAAAAAAAACACAATTAACGTATTTCCACTTATGTATTTGCAATTTTCATGTTTATTTTGGTAAATTTTGTTAAATTTACTATGTTTCTTGGAAAAAAAAGCTTTAATTTAATTAAAACAAGCAAAAAAACCGTATTTCAAACATAATTTAAAGATTTTTCAGCATTGTTTTTGCAAAATCTATCAAATTTTATAATTTTGTTGCTGAAAAATTTTCTAAAAATATTTAATTAAGCAAAAATTATATGTTGTAGACTAAAATTAGCTTTGTTATAATAAAATCTATTAAATTTTGTAAATTTGTCTCTGAGAGTTTTGACAAAAAGTACCAAATTTTGCAACTTTCTTGCTGAAAAAAGCTCTCAATTTCATAGAAACTAATTTTTTACATATTTGTGACCTAATTTACCAATTTTCTGTTTTGTTTTTTCGTGATTAAAAATTATGCATTTTAAGCAGTTTTTAACATTGTTTTATTAAAATTAAATTTGGTATTTTAACATTTTGATACTGTTACATCACAGTTTGATAAAGATAAGCGTGATTTTGGCCTGACATACTGACCCCTGACCCAAAAACCTCAAACTTGCTAATAATTTAGTTTCAAATAACCATCAACAACATAGTGAGTGATGATTTTAATTGTTTTAATATTATTTGTTTCTGGGGGTTTCACCCTCGAGTGTAACACAATCAACCACCGCCAAAAATTCAAAACCGAAATTATTTTGGCACAACATTTTTGCAAAAATGTCCCTTCGAATTTGGTCATCGACAGTTTGTATTTCGTGAAAACGACTTATCCACAAGAAGTCATAATAACCGACTCTGAAATACCAACAATCTCCAATTATTCGTCTCTTCTCAACATGAAATTTGTGCAGAAGTTGGCGCTGAAAGGATTAGGGATTAAAAATATAATCCCTGGGGCGTTTCGCAACATGAACAATTTGCGAGAATTGGATTTGGGTTTCAACCAAATTAGGGAATTGTCCGAAGATGTTTTTCAGGGATTAGAAAGCTTGGAAACGCTGAATTTAGAAGGGAATCAGCTCAGGGATGATTTGGAGAAGAAGAGAAAGTTTTTACCAAACTTGAAAAATGTGAACTTGAGTGATAATCCGATCGAATCGGACAAATAGTTGTGTTTTATTTATTTCTAGTGTATTTTTTAGTTTGTAATAAATTTTCAGGGAAATTATGGCCGGTTTTTGTCGTTTTAATCTACACGAGTTGTGTATTTTTTTTTGAAAATTTTATAAACAGTCTATTACAAATTTAGATTGAATTTGCTTTTCTGTGACAGAAACTTTAAATTTTTGGGTTTTTTGCTAAAAGTTGTACAAGATTAAAAAAATACTGCATTTTAGACGTGATTATTTAAAAAATTACATATTTGTAAGCTATTTTAACAATTTTTTGCTTTATTTTAGTACAAAGTTTGAAAAAAAAAATTTTTGGGTGAAAAAAAATAATAATGCATTTTTTTGCAATTATTTATCTTATCTATTGTGTATAGCAAAATATTCTAAATTTAATACGATTTTTGTTTAAAACCGCTCTAAGTCTACTAAAATAAATAAAAACAAGACATTTTAGGTCTATTTTTGGTCCCTTTTGTCAATTTTTTTAACATGTTGGATTTTTTAGCAAAAAACATAGAAAAATCAAAAGCAACACATTTTCTGTTGTTAATGGTTTTGGTAATTTTTTAATTTCTTAAGTTTCTCTTTAATTAGCTAATTTTTTTATTTTATTTCTTTATTATTATCTATGTGTTATTATCATTCAAGGTTTTTTATAATATAAATCTTTGATACTTACATTTTATACATTTTTGAGATTTTATTAGTTTTTGTAAATTCAAACATTGTAAATTAACAAAAAATTAAAATTCAACGTAAGAATAATAAAGAAAACTACACAAATACTGCTAAATAAAAAAATTAAAAAATACTGTGACTTATTTTTTTACATTTTTATTTTTTTTCCGCTTCTCCTTGTTCTTCAATTTTTTTCTTGCATTATTCTAATTTTAGTGTTACAATTTATTTACACGTATTAAATTTTTCTAATTTTTTTAAGTATACTAAGATATAATTCAGTCTCCCTTTGCACTCTTCCTATCCGTTTATTTTATTCTTTCTTCTAGAATACATGTTTTTTTGTTTTTATTTTTTCTTATGTAAATTTGTTTTAGAGTGTAGTAATAGTTATTTATGTATCAAAGCACTAAAACCTTATTATTTTTCACACATGAGCAGGCCTGTAGTTAGAAACAATTTTTATGTAAGGGGGCCCAAAATTTTTAGTGGGGCTAAAAGTTTCGTAGTTTTTTCAAAAAAATTCCTCGAGCAGGTCAAAATTATTTTTTTAAATGCTATATTTTGACATTATAGTGACATTTATGATGTCATTCGTTTTTGAGTTGTTACGTCATTTTTATTTTTTTTAAATAACAACAGACATTTTTGTGCACTGTTTTAAATAGCACAGATCTTAATAAAAAAATTATATTAAAGTTTAAAAAAAATAAATTTAAAAAAATTTAAAAAATATTAACAGTTAAACACAAAATGCTTTATCTTTTTGTGATTACTTTATTTTATAAGGGGCAATTGTTTTTTGTATATTTATTTAAATAATTAGGATAAAAACACTTGTTGGGTTTTTTAGTAAAAAACAGAAAAAATCAAAAGTAACACATTTTCTGTTATAATTTTGCAATTTTCACTTTGGTTTTAGTAATTTTTAATTCATTAAATTTCTCTGTGAAAAAAAGCGTATTTCAAATTTAATTAAGATTTTCAGCTATGTTTTTACAAAATTGTTAAATTTCATAAGTTTTTTTTTGAAAAATTGTCTAAAATTATCTAATTTAAACTCTGAAATACCAAGAATCTCCAATTATTCGTCTACTCAACATAAAATTTGTGCAAAAGTTGGTGCTGAAAGGATTAGGGATTAAAAATATAATCCCTGGGGCGTTTTGCAACATGAACAATTTGCGAGAATTGGATTTGAGTTTCAATTAAATTAAGGAATTGTCCGAAAATGTTTTTCAGGGATTATAAAGTTTGGAAACGCTGAATTTGGAAGGGAATCAGCTCAGGGATGATTTGGAAAAGATGAGAAAGATTTTTACCAAACATAAAAAATGTGAACTTGAGTGATAATCCAATCGAAACGGACAAAAAGTTGCGTTTTATTTATTTCTAGTGTTGCATGCAATGGATTTAGAAGTGCTGGAAGTGTATTTTTCAGTTTGTAATAAATTTTCAGGGAAATTGTGGCCCATGTTTGTCGTTTTAATCTACACGAGTTGTGTTTTTTACTCAATCAAAAGTCGGGATTTTTACCAAGATTCTCGAACAATTGCTCGACTTGTCTACTTTTCAACTGACTTTTCGTATTTTATTTGCAATGTTTATCAAGTCTTGGCTTTCAATTTCTGGAAGAGGAACAACTGGTGTAATTTTTTAGCAAATTTGCGACTAGGGAAGGGCCGAAAAATTCGTAAAAATCGCATTTATTTTGTGTTTTTTCTCGTAAATTTCTTTTTTGTTTCAACTATCATTTATTCGGTTTATTTTTGGTCACAAAAATTTAACAATTTTTGGGACCGCTATTCATTGAGTTTGGTTGAAAATTATTGTCAATTTTTGTACAATTGTTTCCACTCTACTTTATTATTAATAATCTTGTCACGTTATAAATTACTGAAATTGCAATTGTTGAAAAATCGATACAAAACAGTCGCTCGTGAAATGACGATTCAGAAAATCACTTTGGATTTGTTTAACCGAACTTTCGGTTTATCAATTCTTCTAATTCTTGTGTTGGTAATAACGCAATCACTGCAAGATTTAAGTGACATTTTCTTCTACAAAGATAAGGCCCAACTTGCGTTGATTGCATTTTTAGTCCAATTGTCGCAATTAATACCAGCCTTGTTTGTGATTTATTTGTGTGGTCGTGTGATGGAAGAACAGAAAAAAATTGCTTTGGTTACTTATGAAATGAAGTGGAGTTTTGAACGTGATAAGAAGAAGTTGGGGGATTTTGTCGATTTGATAAGAAAAACTGAAGTCAAATTAACCGCAGCGGGTTTTTTTATTTTGAATAAATCGACAATTTTAACAGTTTTGAATACAATTGTCGCGTTTTTGATTGTTTTGACACAGTTTCAATAAATAATAACAAATTATTTTTGAGTTTTATTTTTTTATTTCTTTTTTGCATTAAATTGGACCACAACGATTAGATAAGTGGTGACACAACCCAACATTTTGGAAATCACACTTTTGTCAATTTMGAAAAAAACTGCTGAAAATTCTGGAAAATGATTCAGACTTGTTTTAATGAAAAAACTGATTTCTTTTCGTTTCTTATTTTCAAGTTGTCGTCTCAAATTACAAGTCTTGAGCACTACTTTTCGGGCATTTTGACACACTTGATGACAATACGAGATTGACAATAAYGTGGGAATCTGMAAACACAATCAAAAAAATTCCAAATTTTTGACTTACCAAAGTTTGCAAAATTGTGARTAAATTCGCAACGACAATACCGAAATATTGTTGTCTGGTGTAACCATAACTGTTTTTAAAAATATCGTCCAAAAATTCGACCACAGTTAAACCACAAGTCATTACAAGACAAACAAATCCAAAACCAAAAATCTGGTTAAAAATTAAAACACAATCATTAAGTGAAACAATCCGATTTTGGATTTTTTGCAAGTTGGAGTTTTTGATTTTTTGACTCAATTCGTGGTACTCGTCGCTTATTATTTTCGCCAAAATTATTATAAGACAAGTGATGTAAAATTGATAATAAAGTAGTACCACATCGATGAAGTACTGTTTTAAAAAAATTATTCCTTCCAAATTCATCCAGAGCAAAATCGAGCACCAATCAAGTACCACAAACACAATTTGGGCTAGTACAAACCGAAAAGTGTATTTTTTACCATGATTTTCTACCATTGCCCATAAAATAACCCACTGGTTTTTTTTCCAAAACMCACCATCAAGGATTAAGACAACAGCAAAGAAATACATCACAGTTTCGAGCAAAATGTTATTGAGAAGTTTGARTGYGGTAAAATTTTMATAATAAGAAAGTCGAAAATAATTTGAAACAAGAATTAAGACAGTTAGGAAAATTATCAAAAATGTTGTATAAATTTTATTAGAATTTTTGGCCCCAATTGCGAGAAAATGACCAAATTTGGGGATTATTTTATACATTTTGATGGAAAATGAGTTGAATWATTAAAAKCGGAAGTAATAAAAATGTGTATTTTGGGTAATATTAGTTTCAAATTGCTTGGCAAATAAATTAGATTTTATCACAAACGTAAATATGGAAAGTAATTAATACCAACACAAATAAATGGCGTTGTTTGATATTTGATCAGTGTTGCGAGACGTAATTATGGATTTGGAAGTGTTTGCAATTTATTTTACCATTGCTGAGAAATTTTCAGAAAAGTTGTGGCCGATTATTGTSYTAATAATTTATTTTTCTGGCGAAATTTATTCTATAAAATGTCGAGAATTTTACGTTAGGTTTAGTACAACCGTTAGGTTTGTTCATTTTTWTACTGACTTGTCATTGTTTTTTTGTAACACTTACATTATTTTGGCGTTGAATTTTTGYAAAAAGWAACAATTGAGTGATTTTTTGGCAAACTTGAGACTTATAAGYGGGAGAAAAGTGGGGAAAAARCATCATTATTTAAGATTCATTTMTGCAAATTTAATCTGTGTCTTGTCTCTTTCCTACGTTGTTTTTTTCTGGTACCAGAAACATCCCGGCGATTTTTTTAATCAATATTTTGTTAGGATTATCGAAAATTATTGTATTTTTTTGTACAATTATTTTCTTTGCACYATTTTGATAACGTTAGTCTCGAGATATAAAAATCTGAAGACACAACTCAAGAATCGTCGATTGAAAATAGTCGGATTTGGAATGACATTCCAAAAGAAAACTTTACATCTTTTCAATRAAATTTTCGGATGGTTTATTTTCCTATTAATTGCTCAAAGTGTGCTTCAGACTCTTCAAAATTTAAGCGATTTGATGTTTTATTCACTCTCAGTTCAGGTAATTTTTGTGGTGGTGGTATCACTTTTCGTACAACTTGTCCCAGTCATGGTTTTGATTTTTTTCTGTGGTTGTGTGATGGAAGAACAAAAAAAAATCGTTTTAATGACATACGAAATGTGGTGCTTCGAACATAATAAACGAATCGTGGATTTAATAAGAAAAACTGAAATTAAAATAAAAGCAGCTAATTTTTTATTATTTTGGACAAATCAGCCATTTTGTTTTATCTCAATTCAATAAATAAAACTCAAATTGTTTAAACAACTCATTTTTGCGATAATCACCCGTCAATTAAAACACTACAAACACTCGTAATTCACAACTTCGATAACCACAATTAGTAAAAATTATCACAATTAGTATCCAGTTTGCTCCGTCACAATGGAAGATAAAGAACGTGCAAAAATTTACTCAAAAACACAAAAAAGCCATCCAAAAGAGCGAACAAACTTCATATTCCATTTCTTATTTTGGTAAGACTTTCCACAAAATTTGAACCAAACAAAAAAAATGTACACAGTTGGGAACTCCCGATTGTAATCAAAGGATGGAAAAAGGACTTGAGCGAAGACGACCTCTACAGTCCTTTGAAAGACATCGACTCGAAGATGTTGGGCGATAAATTGGAACAGTTTTGGTTCGAGGAGGAGAATTTCCAGAAGAAACCATCACTGGCAAGGGCTATTAGACGATTATTTGGGTGGGAAATCGCCAAATTTGGGATTTTGTATTTCCCAGTTGATTTAGCTGTGGTGTAAGAAAATTTCCCGATTAGTCACAAAAATTACTTTTCTGATTCCAGTTTATGCCAACCACATTTCTTGATCAAACTCCTGAATTACTACACCCCAAAACAAACAAACACAACCCTGAAAGAGGCACTTTTGTACGCTTCAGCAATCGTTTTATTATCACTCCTCCGCGTCCTTTTTTTCCATTATTTCGTCATGTCTTTGTCATTTATTGGCCTCAAGGCCCGAATCGCTTGCTCATCCCTAATCTACCGCAAATCCCTCACATTAAAGAAAACAACTTTTCAAAAAATCACAACAGGACAAATTGTTAATTTATTATCAAACGATGTCTACAGGCTTGACTACGTCTTCGCTTACATGCATTTTATTTGGATCAGTCCACTTGAAACAATCCTTGCAGGACTTTACCTCGATTATGCTTTAGGTCACACAGCTTTAGCTGGAATTGCTGTTATTGTCTTCTGTCTTCTATTGCAAGCCTATATGTCACGACAAATCTCAATTTGTCGCAAAAACGTCGCCGTTAAAACCGACTACAGGATTCGACTCATGAACGACATTGTCTCCGGGATTCAAGCCATCAAAATGTTCACGTGGGAAAACTCATTCGCGAGACTCATCGAAGCGGCGAGAAAGTGAGTATGGCAAAAACTGACCGAAAATTGAGAAACTTTTGATGCGAATAATCTTTACGGGGGGCCATGAGCGAGATATTTTCAAAAAAAAATTTTAAAGTGGACAAAGTTACATTAAATTTCAGTATTTTTGTGTCAATAATACCAAACTGGGGCCTTTTTAAGTCTGTAAAACCACCAAAATGTGTTTTTCCAGGATTGAGTTGTCAAAATTTAGAAATATTTGATGCAAATAATCTTTACGGTGGGGCCATGAGCGAAACATTTTCAATTTTTTTTTAATTTTTTAAAACTGACAGTCACGTTAAATTTCAGTATTTTGTGTCAATAACACCTAACTGGGGCCCCTTTAAATCTGTAAAAGCACCAAAATGTGTTTTCCCAAGATTGAGTTATCAAAATTTAGAAATACCGGGAGGGGCATCGGTTACGCGCAGATAAGAAATCTCCACTTCTAATTAAATAAAATTGTTGAATTTTTTCACACTTACCTGGGCATTAGTAAGGTACATTCTCTAGTTTTTTGGTAATTTTTCATTCACAAACAAAGCCAAAAAAAAGTAATTTTCTCCCAAAAACACCAAACTGGGGCCTCATTAAATCTGTAAAACCACCACAATGTGTTTTTTTAAGATTGAGTTGTCAAAACTTAGAAATATGTGATACAAATAACCTTTACGAACGCGACATTTTCAATTTTTAAACTGACAAAATCATGTTAAATTTCAGTATTTTTGTGTCAAAAACACCAAACTGGGGCTCCTTTAAATCTGTAAACCCACCAAAATGTGTTTTTCCAAGATTGAGTTGTCAAAATTTAGAAATATTTGATGCAAATACTCTTTACGAGCACGACGTTTTTAAATTTTTTTTTAATTTTCTAAAACTGACAAAGTTACTTTAAATTTCAGTATTTTTGTGTCAATAACACCACACTGGGGCCTCTTTAAGTCTGTAAAACCACCAAAATGTGTTTTTTCAGGATTGAGTTGTCAAAATTTAGAAATATTTGATGCGAATAATCTTTACGGTGGGGCCATGAGCGAGACATTTTTAATTTTTTTTTAATTTTCTAAAACTGACAAAGTCACGTTAAATTTCAGTATTTTTGTCTCAATAACACCAAACTGGGGCCCCTTTAAGTCTGCAAAACAACCAAAATGTGTTTTTTTAGGATTGAGTTGTCAAAATTTAGAAATTTGTCATGGGAATAATTTTTACGCTGGGGCCATGATCGAGACATTTTTTTTTTAATTTTTTGAAAGTGACAAAGTCACGTTAAATTTTAGTATTGTTGTGTAAATAACACCAAACTGATGCTCTTTTAAGTCTGTAAAACCACCAAAATATGTTTTTCCAGAATTAAGTTGTCAAAATTTAGAAATTTTTGATGCGAATAATCTTTACGGTGGGGCCATGAGCGAGACATTTTCAATTTTTTTTTTAATTTTCTAAAACTGCCAAAGTTACGTTAAATTTTAGTATTTATGGGGCCCCTTTAAGTATGTAGAACCACCAAAATGTGTTTTCCAGGATTGAGTTGTCAAAAGTGCGAAAATCGCTCCAATATCGCGTGGTGAACAACAGTCTGCGTCTCCTTTTCACCAAAATCGCCGTCTATTTGTGTCTCTTGATCATGTTTTTGACTGGGCGTGCCCTCACATCACAGTTTGTCTTCGGTTTGATCAACATTTACGAATATTTGAAGATTTCAACAATTATTTTAATGCCATTGGGAGTAACACTTCTCTCCGAAGCAAGAATTTCGATTTTGCGAATCCAGAACTTTCTTTTGACCGAATTTGACAAAACCCCCCGCAAACAAATCTCCCCAATCCACTTGATCAAGTCGCAAACTGACCTTGAGAAAACCTTCATTGGCGTCCGTCTAATCAATGCGAGCTATAGTTGGAATCCAAATTACGAGCTCTTGAAAAATGTTAATTTTGTTGCGACTTGTGGCGAAGTAATCGGTGTGATTGGCAGTGCCGGTTGTGGGAAAACCACATTTCTGAATTTGATTTTACGCGAATTGGACCTCCAAAAGGGCAGTATTGACGTGACCGGAGTCGTGTCGTATGCCTCTCAAGACCCGTGGATTTTTCCGGGAAGTATCAAACAAAACATACTTTTCGGCGAGGAAATGGACCCGGAAAAGTACCAAAAGGTCATCAGGGTGTGTGCCCTCGAACGCGACTTTTCCCTTTTTCCCTTCGGTGACAACACTTCGGTGGGTGAACGAGGAGTGATGCTGAGTGGGGGCCAAAAAGCGCGGATAAATCTAGCCCGAGCTGTGTACCGAAACGCCCAAATTTACCTCCTCGACGACCCCTTATCAGCAGTGGACTCACACGTGGCCTCTGTTATCTACAACGACTGCATTTTGGGGTACTTGAGCCACAAATGCGTGATTTTAGTCACACACCAAGTCCACTTTCTCACAAACGCATCGAAAATCTACTTGATTCGTGACAAAACCTTGCAAGACATTGGGAACAAAATTGAGACAATTGGGAGAAATGACACTCCGGGGGTGGGAGAAACCACGATGAAAACCTACGATTTGCCCCTTGAAATTAAAGAACACCGGACTTCGGGCACTACAACAACCCGGATTTACCGGAGTTACACCAAAGCCGCCGGTAGTATCCTCAAAAGTGTCATAATCCTAATTTTGTTAATCCTGAGTCAAGCTTTTGCCAACACAGTTGAGTATTTCGTGGCATTTCTTGTAAATATGGCCCAGGAAAAGAGTTTTCACGCAGAATTGCGTAAATTTTTCACGAGAAATAACAGTTTGTATGTTTACACAGCTCTAGTTGTGGTTTTTGTGACCATGACATACACAGCTTTGACTTGTTTGACTCGATATTGCCTAAAAGCAGCGAGAAATTTGCACAATGCCATGCTAAGAAATGTGGTCCATGGACCCATGGAGTTTTTCAACCATCACACATCTGGGAGGATTATTAATCGGTTTTCCAAAGATATGGGCTGCGTGGATGAACAAATCCCGCTAAATTTAATCCTAGGAGTCACAATGGCCTTACTATTGTTAGGGATCACCATCACCATCTCGATTTTGAACTACTGGATGATAATCCCAACCATAATCCTTGTGATCATCATCAGCTTCTATGGGATTATCTTCCAGCCAACTAATAATAACGTCAAAAGGACGGAATCGATTAGTAAGTCGGGAAGTGTGTTATTACAACCCTCAATTTTTTTTTCGTAGCAAAAAGTTCAGTTTTTACGCACACAATGGCCTCGCTTCAAGGTTTAACCACAATTCGGGCTTTTGGAGGCGAAAAAATCCTCAAGAAAGAATTCGACAATCATTTGAATTTGTACAGTTCAGCCTTCTACATGTTGACGGCAATGTACTCAACTTTGACCTTTTGGACTGACTTTACATGTGTCCTCTACACCGGTTTAGTAATCTTCAGTTTTTTTGCGTTTGGTTCTAGTAAGTGGTACTACAAATTTCTGGTACTACTATTTAATGGTGTTTTAGAAATGTGGGTTGGCTACATTGGTTTGGCCATAACCCAGTCGACCTCCCTGGTGGGTCTCATCCAATATGGTACCAAAACCTGGAGCGAATTGGACTCCCAAATGACGTCAGTGGAGCGCGTGGTCGAGTATGCGGAGCTGGAACCCGAGAAAGACGATGGTACTGCTGTCCCATCGGACATGTGGCCCAACAATGGGCGAATTCTCTTCGATGGGGTAACCATGAAGTACCCTCTAAGTAATACAACGGTGCTCAAAAACGTGACATTTAATATAAATTCGGGTGAGAAAATTGGGATTGTTGGTCGAACCGGAGCCGGGAAAAGTAGCCTAATTTCGGTACTTTTCCGCCTCTTCCATTTTGATGGTACAGTTTTGATTGATGGTGTTGACACGAAAAGTCTCCCATTGGCAGTCTTGAGGTCCAAAATCGCGATAATTCCCCAAGATCCGGTGCTTTTTTTGGGTTCTTTGCGCCAGAATTTGGACCCTTTTGACCAATTCCTTGACACTCAATTATGGGCATCTCTTGAAGATGTTGAACTCAAAGAAATGGTTTCGTCGTGGCCTCAAGGTCTTGAAACTGTAATTCTAGAAGGCGGGGCTAATGTTAGTGTGGGTCAGAGACAACTTTTATGTCTAGTTAGGGCCATTTTGCGCAATTCCAAAATCATAGTTTTGGATGAAGCGACCGCAAATGTCGATTTGAAGACCGATGAAGTGATTCAGAAAGTTGTGAGGAGGAAATTCCGGAATTGTACGGTTTTGACCATTGCCCATCGTTTGAATACCATCATGGATTCGGACAAGATTCTTGTGATGGATGCTGGGACGGTGGCGGAGTTTGGGCCACCTGGACAGCTTTTGCAAGATGTAAATGGGTTGTTTTATGGGTTTGTCAAAACAAGTGGGAAATAATTTATTTCATTGAATAAAAATTTTATACAAGTTTGAGTTTCATTTATTGAATTGTGCCAACACGAGGACGAAAGCTACTATCGTGTCTAAGACACCCAAAATGGTTGTTTTGTCCAAAATAAAAAAATTTGCTGCTGTTATCTTGATTTCAGTTTTTCTTATTAAATCGACGATTTGTTTGTTATGTTCGAAGCTCCACATTTCGTATGTCATTAAAACGATTTTTTTTTGTTCTTCCATCACACAACCACAGAAAAAAATCAAAACCATGACTGGGACAAGTTGTACGAAAAGTGATACCACCACCACAAAAATTACCTGAACTGAGAGTGAATAAAACATCAAATCGCTTAAATTTTGAAGAGTCTGAAGCACACTTTGAGCAATTAATAGGAAAATAAACCATCCGAAAATTTYATTGAAAAGATGTAAAGTTTTCTTTTGGAATGTCATTCCAAATCCGACTATTTTCAATCGACGATTCTTGAGTTGTGTCTTCAGATTTTTATATCTCGAGACTAACGTTATCAAAATRGTGCAAAGAAAATAATTGTACAAAAAAATACAATAATTTTCGATAATCCTAACAAAATATTGATTAAAAAAATCGCCGGGATGTTTCTGGTACCAGAAAAAAACAACGTAGGAAAGAGACAAGACACAGATTAAATTTGCAKAAATGAATCTTAAATAATGATGYTTTTTCCCCACTTTTCTCCCRCTTATAAGTCTCAAGTTTGCCAAAAAATCACTCAATTGTTWCTTTTTRCAAAAATTCAACGCCAAAATAATGTAAGTGTTACAAAAAAACAATGACAAGTCAGTAWAAAAATGAACAAACCTAACGGTTGTACTAAACCTAACGTAAAATTCTCGACATTTTATAGAATAAATTTCGCCAGAAAAATAAATTATTARSACAATAATCGGCCACAACTTTTCTGAAAATTTCTCAGCAATGGTAAAATAAATTGCAAACACTTCCAAATCCATAATTACGTCTCGCAACACTGATCAAATATCAAACAACGCCATTTATTTGTGTTGGTATTAATTACTTTCCATATTTACGTTTGTGATAAAATCTAATTTATTTGCCAAGCAATTTGAAACTAATATTACCCAAAATACACATTTTTATTACTTCCGMTTTTAATWATTCAACTCATTTTCCATCAAAATGTATAAAATAATCCCCAAATTTGGTCATTTTCTCGCAATTGGGGCCAAAAATTCTAATAAAATTTATACAACATTTTTGATAATTTTCCTAACTGTCTTAATTCTTGTTTCAAATTATTTTCGACTTTCTTATTATKAAAATTTTACCRCAYTCAAACTTCTCAATAACATTTTGCTCGAAACTGTGATGTATTTCTTTGCTGTTGTCTTAATCCTTGATGGTGKGTTTTGGAAAAAAAACCAGTGGGTTATTTTATGGGCAATGGTAGAAAATCATGGTAAAAAATACACTTTTCGGTTTGTACTAGCCCAAATTGTGTTTGTGGTACTTGATTGGTGCTCGATTTTGCTCTGGATGAATTTGGAAGGAATAATTTTTTTAAAACAGTACTTCATCGATGTGGTACTACTTTATTATCAATTTTACATCACTTGTCTTATAATAATTTTGGCGAAAATAATAAGCGACGAGTACCACGAATTGAGTCAAAAAATCAAAAACTCCAACTTGCAAAAAATCCAAAATCGGATTGTTTCACTTAATGATTGTGTTTTAATTTTTAACCAGATTTTTGGTTTTGGATTTGTTTGTCTTGTAATGACTTGTGGTTTAACTGTGGTCGAATTTTTGGACGATATTTTTAAAAACAGTTATGGTTACACCAGACAACAATATTTCGGTATTGTCGTTGCGAATTTAYTCACAATTTTGCAAACTTTGGTAAGTCAAAAATTTGGAATTTTTTTGATTGTGTTTKCAGATTCCCACRTTATTGTCAATCTCGTATTGTCATCAAGTGTGTCAAAATGCCCGAAAAGTAGTGCTCAAGACTTGTAATTTGAGACGACAACTTGAAAATAAGAAACGAAAAGAAATCAGTTTTTTCATTAAAACAAGTCTGAATCATTTTCCAGAATTTTCAGCAGTTTTTTTCKAAATTGACAAAAGTGTGATTTCCAAAATGTTGGGTTGTGTCACCACTTATCTAATCGTTGTGGTCCAATTTAATGCAAAAAAGAAATAAAAAAATAAAACTCAAAAATAATTTGTTATTATTTATTGAAACTGTGTCAAAACAATCAAAAACGCGACAATTGTATTCAAAACTGTTAAAATTGTCGATTTATTCAAAATAAAAAAACCCGCTGCGGTTAATTTGACTTCAGTTTTTCTTATCAAATCGACAAAATCCCCCAACTTCTTCTTATCACGTTCAAAACTCCACTTCATTTCATAAGTAACCAAAGCAATTTTTTTCTGTTCTTCCATCACACGACCACACAAATAAATCACAAACAAGGCTGGTATTAATTGCGACAATTGGACTAAAAATGCAATCAACGCAAGTTGGGCCTTATCTTTGTAGAAGAAAATGTCACTTAAATCTTGCAGTGATTGCGTTATTACCAACACAAGAATTAGAAGAATTGATAAACCGAAAGTTCGGTTAAACAAATCCAAAGTGATTTTCTGAATCGTCATTTCACGAGCGACTGTTTTGTATCGATTTTTCAACAATTGCAATTTCAGTAATTTATAACGTGACAAGATTATTAATAATAAAGTAGAGTGGAAACAATTGTACAAAAATTGACAATAATTTTCAACCAAACTCAATGAATAGCGGTCCCAAAAATTGTTAAATTTTTGTGACCAAAAATAAACCGAATAAATGATAGTTGAAACAAAAAAGAAATTTACGAGAAAAAACACAAAATAAATGCGATTTTTACGAATTTTTCGGCCCTTCCCTAGTCGCAAATTTGCTAAAAAYTRACACCAGTMGTTCCTCTTCCAGAAATTGAAAGCCAAYACTTGYTAAACATTGCAAATAAAATACGAAAAGTCAGTTGAAAAGTAGACAAGTCGAGCAATTGTTCGAGAATCTTGGTAAAAATCCCGACTTTTGATTGAGTAAAAAACACAACTCGTGTAGATTAAAACGACAAAAATGGGCCACAATTTCCCTGAAAATTTATTACAAACTGAAAAATACACTTCCAGCACTTCTAAATCCATTGCATGCAACACTAGAAATAAATAAAACGCAACTTTTTGTCCGTTTCGATTGGATTATCACTCAAGTTCACATTTTTTATGTTTGGTAAAAACTTTCTCATCTTTTCCAAATCATCCCTGAGCTGATTCCCTTCCAAATTCAGCGTTTCCAAGTTTTATAATCCCTGAAAAACATTTTCGGACAATTCCCTAATTTAATTGAAACTCAAATCCAATTCTCGCAAATTGTTCATGTTGCGAAACGCCCCAGGGATTATATTTTTAATCCCTAATCCTTTCAGCACCAACTTTTGCACAAATTTTATGTTGAGTAGACGAATAATTAGAGATTCTTGGTATTTCAGAGTTTAAATTAGATAATTTTAGACAATTTTTCAAAAACTTATGAAATTTTACAATTTAGTAAAACATGGCTGAAAATCTTAATTAAATTTGAAATATGCTTTTTTTCACAGAGAAATTTAATGAATTAAAAAATTACTAAAACCAAAGTGAAAATTGCAAAATTATAACAGAAAATGTGTTACTTTTGATTTTTTCTGTTTTTTACTAAAAACCCAACAAGTGTTTTTATCCTAATTATTTAAATAAATATACAAAAAACAATTGCCCCTTATAAAATAAAGCAATATCAAAAAGATAAAGCCTTTTGTGTTTAACTGTTAATATTTTTTAAATTTTTTTAAATTTATTTTTTTTAAGCTTTAATATAATTTTTTTTATTAAGATCTGTGCTATTTAAAACAGTGCACAAAAATGTCTGTTGTTATTTAAAAAAAATAAAAATGACGTAACAACTCAAAAACGAATGACATCATAAATGTCACTATAATGTCAAAATATAGCATTTAAAAAAATAATTTTGACCTGCTCGAGGAATTTTTTTGAAAAAACTACGAAACTTTTAGCCCCACTAAAAATTTTGGGCCCCCTTACATAAAAATTGTTTCTAACTACAGGCCTGCTCATGTGTGAAAAATAATAAGGTTTTAGTGCTTTGATACATAAATAACTATTACTACACTCTAAAACAAATTTACATAAGAAAAAATAAAAACAAAAAAACATGTATTCTAGAAGAAAGAATAAAATAAACGGATAGGAAGAGTGCAAAGGGAGACTGAATTATATCTTAGTATACTTAAAAAAATTAGAAAAATTTAATACTTGTAAATAAATTGTAACACTAAAATTAGAATAATGCAAGAAAAAAATTGAAGAACAAGGAGAAGCGGAAAAAAAATAAAAATGTAAAAAAATAAGTCACAGTATTTTTTAATTTTTTTATTTAGCAGTATTTGTGTAGTTTTCTTTATTATTCTTACGTTGAATTTTAATTTTTTGTTAATTTACAATGTTTGAATTTACAAAAACTAATAAAATCTCAAAAATGTATAAAATGTAAGTATCAAAGATTTATATTATAAAAAACCTTGAATGATAATAACACATAGATAATAATAAAGAAATAAAATAAAAAAATTAGCTAATTAAAGAGAAACTTAAGAAATTAAAAAATTACCAAAACCATTAACAACAGAAAATGTGTTGCTTTTGATTTTTCTATGTTTTTTGCTAAAAAATCCAACATGTTAAAAAAATTGACAAAAGGGACCAAAAATAGACCTAAAATGTCTTGTTTTTATTTATTTTAGTAGACTTAGAGCGGTTTTAAACAAAAATCGTATTAAATTTAGAATATTTTGCTATACACAATAGATAAGATAAATAATTGCAAAAAAATGCATTATTATTTTTTTTCACCCAAAAATTTTTTTTTTCAAACTTTGTACTAAAATAAAGCAAAAAATTGTTAAAATAGCTTACAAATATGTAATTTTTTAAATAATCACGTCTAAAATGCAGTATTTTTTTAATCTTGTACAACTTTTAGCAAAAAACCCAAAAATTTAAAGTTTCTGTCACAGAAAAGCAAATTCAATCTAAATTTGTAATAGACTATTCATAAAATTTTCAAAAAAAAAAAATATAGGATGTGGTTTAATTAAATAAAAATTCAAAAATTCTTAATAAATTTAAATTAAATAAATATGAATAAATAATCAAGGACACCTGTTTTGGGTATAAAATAATTTAAATCCACGCCCTGTAACACTCCCATCGGTCCTCACAGGAATCACAATCGGTCCGGCACTGGAATCTATCAAAAAATGTCAAGAAATTGTCAAAATTTGACACTTACCAGTAACCGGGGCATTCATGGTAAAATCCTCAATCAAAGACCCATCATTGAGCTTATCACCACACAATCTGGTACCACCGATCACTATATAATCATCCGGACAGTTAAAAATATCAACGCCTGCTTGACCCATCGGAACGGTACTTACCCCATCTAGAAAAACCATCAATTTCGGTGTCAAAATTTGACAAAACTTACCATCATTCAAATTGACCAATTGAAAAGGGTATTCGAGACCATTGGGCACATTTGTGTACGTAATTGAGCAAAAACCGGCTTCTTTTCGGATACAAATCGCATAGTTGAGATTATTCTGCAATTATTTTACTAGAGCGGAACATAAATTTCACGCATTGTTACTAACAAAATATCCCGGTTCGCTTCTATTATTTATGGCCGCTTGGTCGTAATTAAATGATGATATCATTCCGGTGACTCCGGTGTAGTACTGTAAACAATTATTTGATTGGGAACAATCATTTGCTATTTGACAGATCCGGATTTTGTAACGTTTTCTTTCTCCGGTATTTGACAGTACTGATAATTGTAAGGGGCCCATTAAAGTCGAAACATCGACATAAACTAAAAAAAAAATTGTAGTACCAATAGTACCCAAGTGGTACTACCATGTTGTCCGGTATTGTAACCACAAATCTCCGGTACTGCATTGATATTTTGGCCACTAATCACCAATCTTTCGGTACCACAAGTACCATCAACTGGTCCTCTCAACTCCAAATCAATGAAATCGATTCGCATTTGTTGGATGTTATCCCCTTGTTTGTAGATATTAATGGTACACTCCATGGTAGTGTCAGATTGGCGATTGGTACCACTGAGTGGGAGTCGAGGGTCGGGGGTGATCGGCGGCGGCATGGTACTCGGTGGTAGTACCATTGGCCCGGGAGGGTCGTAGTCAGGGTACCCGGGACTCTCAAAATAGGTGCAATTGCGATCAGAACTGGTACCACAAGTATTCCGAACTACAAGAACCCAATTTACAAGTGCCTGAAACTTGGTACTACTTACAGACACAGCACACTCCGTAACCGTCAGCACAGTCACCCAAATTGGTACCATTCATGGCCGAACATTCGGTTTCGTGGTAGCAAGTACCCAAATAATCACCAAAGGTACCACTACTTTGACACTGGGAGTTCGCAAATTGCACGATTTGGAACAAACTCAAAAACTTGTTGATTTTTTTTGTCTTGTTCCTCAAATCACCAAAAAATTTAGTCTCTGGTTGACGAAATTTTTGTTCGTAAAGTTTCGTCAAATAATTTTTGAGTAAATTGTTAATCCTCGCACGACCTGATGAAATTTTTGGACTGGTTTGAAATTTGGGTCTTTTATCCACGAAAACCCCAAATTCTGACTCAATCTCATTTTTGACGAAATCGTCTTTGCGGTTGTGAATTTCGGGTGGATCCCCGAAAAAATCAAAATGGATTATATCACCGGAGTGCACGAGAGGTAGTACTAAAACAAGCACAAGGAGCATGGTTAAACTGAGCGAAAAACGGGGAAAAATGCCTTAAAAGTACGACTTACCAGAGCGAAAAAAGTCACATTACGCTCTAGAAATCGACAAATTAGTGTAAATAAGCGACAGGTGGGTGAGCATGAATTCTTAAACTGACTATTGATTGACACACTTTATTTTTATTTTAAGAAAAATCGAAAATAATTGACGGTACCACTTGCCCTTGACCGGGAAACCTCAGATAATTTCATTACAAATCACATTCACTCTCACAGTCATGTTTGCGTGTTTGTTTTTAATGGTACTAGTGGTACTCCTGGTACACAAAAGACTCCTTTTGTACTACCACAGTGCCCAATTGCCCGGCCCTTTCGGCCTCCCGTTCCTCGGGAGTCTCCATTTGCTCATCGACGGCCCTAAAAGTATCCACAAGACTTTAACAAAACTCTTCGAGAGGTACCCCAAAGTTGTGAAGATTTGGTTCGGCCCTTGGCTATACGTGAGTACCACCGAACCCAACGATTTGAAGGTCATTCTGACCCATCATTTGGATAAAGGAGAGTTTTATGAATTGATGTCGGGGTACTTTCGCCGGGCTCTAGCCGCAGCTCCAGGTGAGTACCAACTGTAGTGACGAGTACCAAAATTTTTGTAGTTGATTTGTGGAAAAACAACAGGAAAAGTATCAACCCGACTTTTAATACCACGATTTTGAACACTTTTATTGGCGCTTTTGCGAAACAAGCCAACATTTTGGTAAAAAATTTGGGCAAGTACCAAGGAAATGAGGATATTTTCCCAATCGTGTGGAAATGCACACTTGATGCGGCTTGTGGTACCACCAAGGGTCACCAAACTTTAATAAATTTATTTGTTTTATTTTAGAAACCTTGGCCGACGTTGATCCAATTTATCTCGAGACTGAAGTTTGTTTAAAACGAGTTTTTCGGTCGGTACCACTTTCACTTTTCTCGTTTTATTACAGTTTTTTTAGAATTGAGGAGATTCTCCTGCAACGTTTTTTTAATCCTTTGTGCCACTTAAATATTTTATGGAAATTTTCACCCTTACGAAAGGAACTGGAAGTACTTTGGGAGCAAAATAGTACTTTTATTAAACAAATGATTGAAATAATGAAACAGTCAGATTCGAAAAAAAAACGTTTCCTTAACCATTTAATAGAGAATGAGAATAATCAAGATTACGTAATAGAAGAAGCTCAAATAATGTTTTTTGTTGGTACTGAAACATCTGGAGTTGCAATTAGCTCAGTTTTGCTAATTTTGGGTATCTACCCCAAAATTCAGGTACTCACACTATTATCACAACCAATTGATAACCCAATTATTAATAGGAAAAAATTTTTGACGAAATCGATCAAATCTTTTCCGGTAGTACCAGAAATGTCACTCTTGATGATATCAACCGCTTGGAATATTTAGAACGTGTGATTAAGGAAACTTTGAGATTACTTCCACCAATTCCCTTTGTGATGCGTTCCCTTCATGAGGATTTGAAATTGAGTTGTGGTACCTTTCCCGCAGGTTCCAGAGTAATAGTACCAATAATATGGTACTTAGAAATAAAGAATTTTGCCCCAAAGCGTTAAAATTCGGATCGGTTTTTAATTGAAGAAATTGAGAAACGGCCAACTTGTGCTTATATCTCGTTCAGTTATGGTACCACTTGAGTACCACCAAATTTAAATAAAACAACATTTATTTGGGTTGTTTCAGGTTACAAATACGGAATGTTGTCAATGAAGGTTATTTTAGCAACGATTTTAAGAACCTTCAAGGTCAAATCCTCAAATTATAAAAGTCTACAAGTGGTACTACTTATTCACATCATTGCCAAGGCTACAAATGGCTATAAAATTGTTTTGGAGAAACAAAATAAATAATTTTATGTTTATTTGTGTTTCATTATTATCTAAAATAGTAACAATAATAAAGGGGAATCACTTTGACAGTCACGATTTTCTAAGTACCACCTATATAAAGAAAACTCAGTGTTAGTTTAGTCAAACTTATTGCAAAATGAATAAGTTTAGTACTTGTCTACTTCTTTTACTTGTCACAAATGGTACTAAAAGTAAGTTATTTTTTCACACTCATGGTACTTGTTTCAGTTATGTCAAACAGTATAAGTCTCCGAATGGTGGGTGGAGTAGACACAAATGGTACCATCCCATTTATTGCTTCCATCAAACATTTAAAAGATAATGAAGTGATTAAATCGTGTTTGGGTACTATAATTTCAAATAAGTGGGTACTATCATCTGGTTTTTGTCTCTTGGGCGGGTACTTTATCTAATCATTTGGTTCTCTAGGTGTATAAATTATTATTTCAGAGATTTGGGTACCATTTTTGTCGATGTGGGCGTTTATAGCCACTCTGATGTACCCCCAAAACGGTATAAAAGTACCGAAATTGTGGTTCATCCCGATTTTGACAGTACCACCGGGCAAAACGACATTGGGCTAATCCGTCTCGAGTCCACCCCTTTGGTCACAACCATTCAACTTGGGCGGTTTTCCACCAAAAACCCAAAACTCACTGCTTTTGGGTGGAACGAAGACGAGAAAAATGACTACTCAAAACCAGAACCGTACCATCTTGCTCGCCTACAACTTGACATTTTACCAATGGAGGAATGCAAGAAGAAGTATCCAAATTTGGATTCTCTCGTCAAGTTGGACCAAAAGCAAATCTGTGGATATGGGGGCAAAGGGAAAGACATGTGTGGGGTGGATTTCGGGGGTCCCTTAATTGACAGTACCGGAAGACAAGTCGGGATTTTCAATGATGTTATTTTTGCAGCCTCGGGGCACAGTCACCAGTGTCATGGCCATCATGACCATCCCTTGGTTTTCACCAAAGTTGAGGCCTATGCCAACTGGATTTGCGAAGTTGCCCATATCTATTTCTTCAAATGAGTAGTACCAATTTTGGTACTGTTGGTCTAGTGACCTATTTTAAAAATTTTCTTAATCTAAACCAATATTTGTGGTTTGACATTTTCATATTGGTTTATACTGATAAAATTATTACTTATTTAGTATGAAAATATGCTGTAAACATTGAAAACAATGCACAATAAAACTATGCTTTATGGTACTACCTTGAAAATTGTAATAAAACATTCATTCAAAAACATAATTAATATAAATACTTAAAAAACTTAAAAAATCTTTTTTAATATACAGGGTGATTCATCGCAGCTCCGGTCTTCTGTAACTCATACTTTATTTATATTTTAGAGCGCACTTCAGAAAAATATTTTTGATTATACCGAGTGGCCCAAAAATATGTTACAATACAACCTTGTTTTTTTTTAAATGAAACACCATATGCTTCTTGGCATTTTTGAATGTAGCTTCAATTTTGTTTAGTTTTGAATTAAGTTGTTTTTTTTTGGCGAAAACATTGACACAAAAAGTTAAGACAGCTGAATTTTTTTTTACCATAGAAAATACGAACTTTGAAACTAAAACATTTTTTAATATATTGCAGTCGATAAGTTAAAAAAATGTTAAAGTTTGTTTTTTTTTTTTTTTTTTGCATCTAAGAGATTATTAAATGATCTTTCCAAAAACATTCACTTTTAAGTGTCTACAATTAATAACTAAAAGGATATTTAACAATAAACATTAAAAAAATATATCATTATTTCAATAGCCACCCTGTATAATAAAAAATATTTTCCTAAAATACGCTCTAGACTATAAATAAAGTAGAAAGGTACTATTCTAGGCACTAAGTAAAATAATAGATAAAACTTTAAGAATAATTCTATCCCTGTTAAAATTGCGTTTATTTTCCCTTGTTTAACATTTGAAACTACATTTCTACAGGGTGTTTAAAAAAAATTGTAAAATATTTAAGCAGGTAATAGGGTGAACCAAAATAAACAAAAAAGTTAGCAAAGTAACGGTTTTGGAAATATAGGATGTGAAAATTTTTAGAATTTTTACGTCTCTTCTTTGTTTCAACAGATTGCAAATAAATATTTCAAAAAAAAGAAATAATCTTTGATATCTATGACTTACTTCTTGTTTTACATCGTAATAAGAATTATGATACAAAAAATACATGTTAAATATCACACCAGAATTCTAAAAAGATTTGGAAAAATATTTAAAAAAAAGAAAATAGCATAAGAGCTTTACAACATGGACTAAATTAGACGTATAAACAAAAAAATTAAATTTGAAATTGTCAAGTAGTTCTTTCAAATTTCTTTTTTTTTATTATCTTCACCTTCTTCAGTTTTTCTTTCGAGATTCGTAGTTTTTTATATGATTTTTTTATTTCACGTTTTATTCTTGTGTTGTTAAAATTTTTTGTTACAAATTACCGTTTCAGGTTTTGTTTCAATCACCGTTTCTTTTTTTCTTAGATAAATAATAAGTTTTTTTTATTGTTTGTGTTGCCGAATTGGTTTTCTTTTTTATTATGTCATAACAATTTTTGATTCTATTTCCGTTTATTATTCTCAACTTTTATTTTTTTATTTTCCATGTTTATTTATTTATTTTTACTTGTTCAACATTCGGAACTACATTTCTACAGGGTGTTTAAAAATTATAAAATATTTAAGGAAGTAACAGGGTGAATCAAAATGAACAAAAAAGTTAACAAAGTAACGGTTTCGGAAACATCTATAAAAAAAAATTAAATTTTGATTTCTCTTCTTTGTTTCAACAGATTACAAATAAATATTTCAAAAAAACAAATAATCTTTGATATCAGTGACTTACTTCTTCTTTTACATCGTTATAAGACTTATGATACAAAAAATACGTATTAATTATCACACCAGAATTCTAAAAACATTTGTAAAAAT